ATTTACTGCTTGCAAACCAGTGATGGTAAGATGATGTCATGGGGTAGGACTGGATAAGTCTGACTTCTTCCTACTCCATTCAAGCATGTACTAGGTATAAGCAAATTGATATTGGATTAGCATTTGTTGGATATGTGTAAAATTATGTGTGTTGACATATCAACTGTCTTTACATGCTTGAAAGAATAAATAAATCAAATCAATCAAATGTCTCACCACAACCAGTCCTCCAACCTGCTTGGCTCCACCTTAGAATATGACCCTCATGACCACTCCAGTAGCAGACTTTGTGATTGGTAACAATCATAAACCCACAGAGACAATTATGGAACAGTCACAATTTCATTATATTTTAGCACAAAAACTGCTTGATTACATTTGGGAACAAAAACTGCATGGTCAGTTTTAAAAATTGTTGTGGGATCGGGCTAAAATAACTGTTGTTGGCATGGTTACAATTAAAACCTGGTAAGGTTGTGGAATGTCATGGGTAAAAAAATGTAACTTTTCACTGGTGTGCAGTGGGAAGGTCCTGTGTTTTTTGACCCATCCATCCACCTTCCCACCCCAATTGCCTCCTAAAATGGACGGTGTCTTTTAGTATAGCACGTCACCTAACTTCCTTATTTTTTTATGTCACATTTACTATGATCACATAAATATAACACATAACTGTTATAACCTGCCGACACAAAGAGCATATGGACTCGTTTTTTTACAGGAAGGCAGTCTCCTCACACACATACACAAGCAAGCGTGGGCTATGTCTTTCATTGAATGTCCAGACAAGTAAAGTTAGATCAGTCAAGCTTGTAATTGCCATGGGGTGGGGATCACATCATCCACAATATGCAAAATATTTGAAATATGTACATTTTATTTGTAAATGACAAGTAATTAAATCCCTCCAAAAACTAAAAACTAAAATCTCAAACCAACTCCAAAAAGCACAAAATGTTCACTGAAAATCTGCTTCATGTTTGTGTTTATTTCACCCAGCACCACTGAACACAACACGAGAGAACATTTTGGATTGTTCTGTATCTTTCACAGACCATACACAAATCTCTGACAAACGGTTTGCATGTCTATACCCATACACCCATGCATTAATGCTGCTGCTGATGGACATTTCTGGTTGGCTGTTATTTAGTGTAATGAGCTGGAAGATGACTCAAGTTTCACTCTGTGACTTTTCTTTTGGAAACTGAATGGGTAGTTGATTTATCACTAAATTGTGTTACAAGTCCCATAATTTGGTGGTTCTCTCCCTGGGCCTGATACTAAGGACACATGGATAGATATACAGTATTGCTAAATTAATTTAATAGATACAAATTTGAGTTACACAACCTTACACCAGTGTTTTTAGATTATTCTCTATTTTTGCTTTATATTGTGAAATTTGACCCTTTCACTTGTATGAATCTTTAAAAGTTTTTCTAGTGAAACCATCTGAAAGAGACAAATCGGTCTTTACTTGACCATGCCTACTCTACCTGTGCTGTGAGGTCTACAAGTAGATATTACTTCTTTTTATTAAAGAACCACAACCAAATCAGTTCAGGAATCACTGCCATAAACCTGGGGCTTGTCCTGTTATGGGCATCACCTCGATAAGGAAGTGACGCCATGGCTCACTGCTTCTCTTTCTGTGTGTGTGTGTCTCTGTCTCTCTCTCTCCTTGAGTCCAAAGAGGCAGAGAACTGGAGAGCTTTCTATTTATAGAAT